TGCTAGCATTAAGTAATAGCCTATACATCCTTAAGCGTATCTAAAACAAATGATACTGTCCTCGTTCACGTTCGATACGATGGATCCAGAGTCAGACAAGGTTGTTAAACAAGAATCGGTACGAGAGCGAAAGGTCAAATTGCAATATGGAAAAATACATATTGGGAAAAATTCTTGAGGAGGTCATGTTAATTCGGTCAATCGTTCGGTCGATGTCGCGAATCGGAAACTCGTCGAGGCGGTGCTCGTTAGGGCGGCTCTCCGTTAATCCGGGTCCGTTGCCTAACGAGAAAACGAAAAAGGAAGGATGAAAACAAACGGACAGGGGTGGAACAGGGGAAAGCGTTCTAATTCCAGCTAGCGATATCGAGTGAAAGGCTTGAATAAGAGAAACCCTTCCGTTCTGTTACAGAAAATCCTGCTACCGTTGCGTCGTCATTCACGAGAAACACTCGAACGTTCTTCAGTACAAAGAAAGTAAGTACAATCCTGAAAGAACAGTGGAAGATTCTTTCTCCCGCTTCACCGTCGTCGACCTTCTAACAGCCGTTGTTTCGTTCGATCGATAACGATTCCTCGCTGGCCCGTAGAAATCCATTCATTAATTAGAATGCCGATCGGTAATTAAAAGCTCGAAGATGACGAGAGAGAACACGAGAGCGGGAGGAAGGTTCTGCCGGAATAATTCTCCGGGAAGAACTTAACGACTTTCGTCCGTTGTGCAAACCGGGGAGGGTTCAACGGGGAGCGAAGAACGATGCGGAAATCGAACGAACGAAACACCCGTTGACCCCTAGACAGGTTCTGCTAATTCCGAGGAGGGAGCCTCGTTCACGTTGGAAAAGAAATCGAGAGCACTTTGCCGGATTCTATCGCGCGATCGCCGCCCTCCTCGTCCCTCATTAATACAACGACAACAGAACCCGGATACCGAACTTTCTGGGACGTGATAATGGTTCTCGTTCCCGGATATTTATCGGGGTTCGTTATGTAGATCGTCGCAGATTATCGGTTCCAGACTGACCCATCTCCCAATCGCCAATCTTAAGTACGAATCGCAAGTTTACTACAGATTTTAAAAACTGTTCGGATACAGGGAAAATAGAACGAATTAATTTTAGCATAAAATGCTGATTCAAATGATTTAACATAGAATGTTGAAGCAAGTATTTCAATGTAGAAATAGGAATTCTTGGTAATTTTATTCATAGACGATGGAAAGTACTTTGCTAAAGCTCGCTAACAATACTTTGATCCTCTACGGCTCGTTAGTGGGCTCTGGAAAACTAGTTGGTGGGGTAAATATGGATCCGGATAAAAAATGGGTTAGCTGCGGGTGAAGAGCGCGTCTACTACTACGTCCGAACACGCTGTCAAAGTTAGTTTTAACGTTTTAAGTAGTTGACGCGTAGGAATATGGGAAGAATCGATAAAAATTAAAATTATAATATAGTTAATTCCATATTGAAGAAACGTCGGACGAATATTTGTTATTTATGAAGAATCAATTTAATATCCTAGCGACTTGGGAACAGGACTCGAGGTATTATAATCACGGAAGTTATCAATTTTAATTCACGAGAATTCATTCATTGATTATGTGAACTTCCTGTTTGATTAAAAGTTCATCGATTGGGAATCGTGATTTTATTATTATACTGCGAAACGAAGAGAAGGAAAATCTGTAACACCTGACGCGATCCTGGAACTACTTGTACACGGGAATAAACGTCAAGCAGGTGGAGTTTGGCAGTCGAGCCAAGCCGAAGAGGGAAGGAGTGGGACGGGTATCCAATATATAAAGGCCGAAAAACAGGGACATCGACCTCTGGTACCGCCCCCCCGCTGTCTCGCGTCCGCATTTTTCGACGATTTGTCAAAGTCCCTCGGGCCCCCACCCCCTATCCCCGTCTGCCGTCCTTTTTTTTTTATCGGATTTTAATCTGCATAGTGTCACATCGGAGATACCCGTTTTGCCTGCAGGCTGCGCTCAGTTCGGACCGGCGACAACGACCGGGAAAATGTGGGTCGTTTCCGTGGGAAAACCGGGTGGGTGGCGGTGGCCGGGAACTGACATGGCGACAAGGTGGATCGAGAAAAAGGCTCGTCACGCTTCGGGCGACTAAACAAATGGAAACGCGGATCCCTCCTTGATCACTCCGATACGCTCCTGAACGTAAACGCGATTCCCAGCGGGGTTTCGGGTTCGTTATCGCTTATTCGCTTCCCCCGGAGCGAGGAGAATAGGATTTTTTGGTTAGGGAACTGGGTCGAACGCAAATTGAAGAAAGTTTCAAAACTGAAAGAAACGCCTGCGTTACTGAATAATATTCTTCGGTTTCGTTAAAAAAGTTCTATTCGTTCTGAAGCAAAACACGCGCGAAACAAAAGTGCGAACACTCGCGAGTTATCTGGCGGCGAGCGTGAAGGAAAGATTTTAACAAGCAGCCGGCGCTGTCTCGCTGGCAGCCGGGGTAGCGGAAACTTTAAGAGGCGGAATTACTGTCAGCGCGGCGGAAAGTCCGCATTTTAAAATTTAATTGGCCGACGGCGTCCGCGTTTATCGCCGGATAAACGAACAGTTTGGACCTGCAACTTCTGCGTAAACACAAGACTGCACTCTTTTATCCTATTCTCTCTCTATTACCCCGTCTGTCCCTCTCTCTCGTTTTTGTATACCATTAATTCGCGTATCGCGAATCCTGGAGGATTTTTCGTGAGGAACCGGGCCGAATTCATTTTAATTTCGCTAACGCGACCCTCTTTCGTCCGGACTTTGTCGTTCGTGACCGAGGAAATAAAGCGGGGGCTAATTAATCAGCGGGACATACCTTCGGAAGGGCAAATTAATTATGTTGAAACGGCGGTCGGCAGCAATTTCGTTCGGGGGTTGGAAAAAGGAAGCGGCCCGGTCCTAATAACGAATAAATGACGATGAAAATTTGAGCAGGCTAGACGGTAGACACGAAAGGGTGACACGAAGCCGCGCCACGGCTTCCATGCGAGAATAAATAAATAAATGAGACGCGAGCGGGGATGGTAGAACGCGGGCGGGGGAAAGTTGGAAATAGGGGAAAGACACGACATTGCACTTTTTCCATTTCCACGCTTTGAAAATTACATCTGCCTACATTCTTCCTCTCGTCTTCCCCTTTTCTTCCGTCCTTTTTGTAGACTACGCTCCGTATACCGGTGCACGGTTATTCGTGTAAATAAATATTCGTTTATTTGAATAATTTTTAGAGCGTGACGGCGGAGAGACTCTTTGTATTCCGCAATTCTTTTTTCCCCGTGAATTTCAACTTGTTTGCGCCAGATAAATGCGAGCGAGAGCAAATGTGCCGGTATATTCAAAGAACGATGAGTCTCGTTCCAATTTTCTCCAACCCGTGGTTTAATAGCAAGTCCTGCTTTTTTTTATAAATATCAATTTTAACAAATAATAGTTTAAACGATCATCCGGTTTTTCTCGAGTCGACAGCGACACTTGTGCGTGGAAAAGTTGTCTCACCACTTTCCCAGTCAAGAGAGAAAAGAAATCGTAAAGAATATCCACGGTTAAACTTCCTCTCAGCTATGAACTTCCTACTCAGGAAGATTCATCATTGTTCATCTCCATGTCCCTCTTCGGACTCAACTTGTCAGCTTGTCTGTGGAAAAAACTAACGGCTGTTCGAAAAGAGTCACTATATCTGTACTACTGTCGCGTGCACTCACTTTGCGACACAATCGAACGACAATTAATTGTTTTGAAGAAAGGCAACAAGTTTTACAATTAATCATTGAACAAATATCTTTCCTTCGAAACGGCGACCCGAAAAATGATCATTGACTGTTTCAGCATACTGTCACGGGCGAAACTCGCTGTCATCTTTGTGCTCGTACATCACGGGCGATGCCCTGCTGTACTCGATGTTCAGGGAGGAGGCGACACCTGTGCCGTGCCCTTTTCGTGGACCCATGACCTTCTCCTATAACAGGGGCCACGGGACTTGCTCGGTGCCGGCCAGCAACGTCGACACCTGCACCGACGACAGCAGATTGCTATTCAGATACCAAGCCTGTCCCGACATATCGGCCTCCGAGAGCGCAGGTGAGCAGTCTATTGAAAAATCTTTCCCCTCCATTGATTTATGATTGTACTTTATGGACCTACGGAAGTCGTATATCACTATAATGTGATATTATTCATGTTAAGCGTTCATTCGAATTAGACGTAATTTAGGCACGAATAGTATGTAATTACTTGAAAAGTGTTGGTGACATTTATGGGGCTGGTACGGTTAAGAAACCATAATTTGGGGGACACGCGTCGGACGACGAAGACATTCGAAACTTAGCGGACCCGGTTCAGGGGTCGTACGCTCAATTAATGGTTGAAAAGGGTCAGGGGTCGGGACGCGATTAGAAGTGATTTTCGTCCGTGCATTCGTTAGCCGCGGCCAGGGACGAGGGAGAGCTCGATTTCCGGTGGAGGGGTACCGTGCGCTTTGCCATTAGACGCACATCCGATAAGGGGTTTGCCGAGGTAACGGTTTCTGCGGTGGAAAATTAAACGGAAAGACCCGAGAAAAAGATAAGTCGCGTCGAACATGTCACGTCTCTATCTCGGATGTCTTCCTGAAATTAACGATCTCGCGTCTAATGACTTAAAAAGTACAAATGATTTAGCAGGGTAGAAATCTGCAAGTAATCCTCGTGACTCGTATCAAGAGAAATTTTGTTTTAAGAGTAGCTAAGACGAAATGAATTATCTTTATCTATCCTCTAAGAAAATTACGTTGAACATCAAGATTTGTTTGGAGAATTATCTGAGCGATGAGAGATTGTCATGCAGAGTCGTTTAAAGTTGTAATCAAAGAACCCAGTGAACTTGGGACGGGATAACGGTTATGAAAGCAGCCGTACAAGGTCTGAACGGAGCAGGGTGCGGAGTTAAATAGGTGGACGAGCCGAGAATCGTCCCCTTCGGTCCGTAACGAAGGTACCCACGGTCGCAAAACCACTGACTCGTTTGCCTCCATTTGGAGTTCGTTAAAGTTTCCGATCGAAGGGGCGAACAATTTCCCTATTTTCGTAAAGGCTGCCACCCTTTTCGCAGCCTCGGACGAGGACGCAATCTTAATGGACAGAACGGCTCGGGCAACGAATAACGAAAGTTCTGCGGCCGGCAATTGGCCAAAAAGTCCGCAGAAATTCTTTAACGTTCGAAATTTCGCGAGACGACGCCAGAAGTTGTTAAAGCCGGGAATCTAAATGAAATCCGGCAAATTGTTCAGTTCCTTTGCTCGTAAACGCGCTGTTCGCTGGGGGAAAACAGTACTGCTAAAACAAAATGTAATTGAGACGCACGAAGCAGCTATTTGGAACGGGTCGAGATTCTGCGGCGGACAACGATCCGATTTTTGAAAATTCTTCAACCGAATCCAGCAAAGATCCGATTCGATGGTTACGTTCTCCCGGAATTGTTTTTATTCTGATGGACATTCTGGCCGCATGTCGACGTTAAATCGAATTAATCTCTGACGTGAAACACGTGAAAAAATGTCCAAAACGACGGGAAACGGACAAATCCTTTTCGAGTCGTTCTCATGATGTTCTGTGCGTTGATATTTGTTATGAAATTGCGATATAAAGAGTTTTGTTAACGTTGGTATAGCAATAAAATTAAACATACGACTGCCTACAAGCTTTAATCTAAGGGATCTCGTTTGGGAGAGGCATAAACTGTGGGTGCCGTTTAATCCTTTAGGTGGGCGTTATCCGACGAGAATTCGGCATAATTCAAGCTTAATTGAGTCACGTTCGTCCGGATCGAGGAAACGAGTGAGAAATCCGATGGCCCGTGGCGAACAAACTCACGGAATTTATTTAAAACCGTTCCGAAACTTGCGACATCTCTTCTCTCTCTCTTTCTCTTTGTTCCATTACATTAGAGAAGGTCTATGATAATACTCTCCTTATCACAAAGGTATTCCTAAATTCTATTGTCTTCAGTATTTGATATCGCGTATAAAGTAATTTAAGATTTAAGAGACCGAACGTGCTTTATTGATAAAAGTGAAATTACAGTTGAATTTCTGACCGAGTCGAGTGACCCTCCATTCTGTAAAACGCGTCCTCTTTTGAATTTTCAAATGAATTATACTCGAGACGCAGAATCTGTTAAACTGCGAGCGCGTTAAATCAAAGGCGAGCGTATTAAATCAAAGCAAGGTGCCCGGTGATTACTGTAATGCGGATAGGAACAATATATCGTTCAGCTGAATATAGTAGTACGTCAAGCGAGAAGAGTAACTGGCATAAAAACGTCGAAACTAAGCGTGAAAAAACATTAATCAAAAAAGCGAGAATGAATCGTAGAAACGGTGTTACTCGAATACATAAGTAAAGTTACGCTTTAGCACCTTGATTCAGATTAACAGCGTCGTCGCAGTAAAATCCGTGCGTCGCGCTTTTTACAATTTATTTTCTTCGATTACAATCTCGAATACATTTGAACCGAGCACACTTTTTGAACGCGTGTATAAAACATGACAAAGAGAAATGATGATGTTCTTTGTTCAAATATTCGCGAAGCAGAATAATAAATGAAGAAACTAATGATAGACTGTGGAGAATAATTGTATAATCGTGAAAGAGAATACTAGGTATCTCGAAGAGATCGGCAAATAGATACTGTTTGGGAATCTCCGACTAACGTACGTTAAAAGAAAAGTAGGAACAGATGACGGGCTGGCATATCTTGGACAATTATCGGCTCGAAAGGCCATGGATGGGTCGATACTATCGGTGGTAAGGTTTCTTCTTTCACTGGCGTCTCCGAAGGAGAAGAGGAAGAGACACCATCCACAGATCCCAGAGCGGCGCGTATCTAAATCACATCTCGCGGAAAACTCGGCTACCTCTTTTTCCTGCCATTTTCCTCTGACCCTCGCGTTGCGGCCATTCCTCTTTCGTCGTCTCCTTATTTTTCCTCACTTTAAAGGCAGCCGGGCTTCCTTTTTTTGATCCTTCGGAGGATGCCGCGAGCAATTTGCGAAGATTCGAACGAAAAAGCTCGTTCCACTGGCGGTCCTCGCTCTTTTGCTCGGATTCCGGCGTCTGGCCTCCTTCCCGAGTTTCCGTCGATTTTGATCTTGCCGATAAGTATCAACGTTCACGACTCGTTACCCTCGAGCGAAAATTGTTTATAGCAAACAGTATTTTAATTAAAATTCGTCAAAAGAGATTAACATGATTACTTTTCGAAACAGATATTGTCGCTTTACTATAAGCTTGTACTGTCATAAGTTACAGAAACGGAAGATTTGGTAGCAATAGAATTTTATAAAAAATCGTTAGATCAAAGTTCATTTTCACGGTTCGCTTCAGTCGCAAAGAACGCGACGAAATACCTTTTTCGATTGGGTACGCGCGGTTGATCCCACGCAAATAACTCCGATTCGAAATTCTCCGCGGAAACCGATTACATGCGGCGCGATCGCTTTCGTGCGTGTGCAAACGCGACTCTCCTCGCCGCGGACGGCGCGGCGTAGTGCGTCGCGTCGCCCGGGCCAGAAGTTAGTGAAAAAAAATAGAGAGGCTCGGGAAATCGTGCCAAACGAATTTTCCAATAAATGTAACTCTCGTTCAATTTGCACCAGGACGACATACAAAGGACCCGCGCGGGTCGGGTTGCGTGAATGAAACGAAACCGCCCCTTGATCGAGTTTTTCGCCCCGTCGATTGTCTGCTTTCGCGATACCGGTTCGACTTCGCTTTCGGTAGATTTTCCGAATTTTATCCCGCGCCACGCGATTATATTCAACTTTTTTAAACGTTCGAACGATTAATTCCCGGAAGCGAGGTGAAAGTTTCATCGGAAACTCGTTTTCCTATTTGCGTTTCAGTCGAAGAGCTGGAATGCCTGGCTACCTGGAAGGAGGGCAGCAGTCGTTACCTGGTCGGCCGTTTACATCACGGACACGCGTCGAGCAACGAAGATCGATACCGATGCTTCGTCTACGAGAAGGCCACGGCCGGGCAGACGGTGCAGAGCAATCTGCACAGAGCTGCCATGGGCATAGGAGCGATGGATCACGATGTCGGTTTGCAGACCGGACCGGTGCCCGAGGGCGCGGCCGAGATATACCGGGTGGCACAGAGCGGAGACGCCACGTGCAATGGCCTGTTCAGCCCCATGGAGGGATCCAGGATTATGACACTCATGAAAGGTATCTATGTCAATCCGCAACCGTTGTATCAACGTGCAATTTTGGTGAATGCACATGTACACATACACGTGTCTAACTTCAGAGTCGATTGAAATCAGAGAGCGTAGTCGATCCTATGTAAACGCATTCTACGTGTAGAAAGAGAATGTCGGTTTATACAGTTTGCAGCACGGTATGAGAAAAGGAAAAGCAAACGTGGGAGGAATCTGAAAAATTCAACTCCCTCGTAGCATCATTAACGGTACGTGTCAAAATGACGGTACAGCGCGAATATTTACAGGCTACTCCAGTCTCTTTTCTTGAAACCCGTGCGAGAATCTTTCTTTGTTTTTTTCGTTTCGGCCCCTCCGCATATTCTTCTCCCAGAATTTGCAAGCCCGTATCTTACTGCGTACAGTTTCACGGCAAACTTCGTTAACAGATTTCAGTCGAGTGGATTTACCGGGCCGGGATCTTTCCTCGCTTCAAAGCGAGGCGCCGGTTTCTTTGCCGATTCGTTTTAAGGCAGGACGCTATAATGCAGTGGCTCGAAGTTAACCGTCCATTATTTAAATTTCGATGACAAATCACCATATCTAATTTAGAAGACCAGTGCCCGTCTTCTGTCGTGAATTCGTATTGTTCAAAATGTTGGAGAGATTTATGTGAAACTTTGTTAGCGCACAGTCGAAATCTTAAAGTTCGAAGTCGGATAAAATTGACGATGGGAAGAAACAGCGAAGCGGTGGTAGCGAGAGACAAGCTGGCCCCGTCGCCTTGTAAGCGTCCCCGTCGTTAATACCTCGATCCTTCTTGTGGAAACGGGGAATGGGGAGAGAGCAACGCCGAGAACCAGCCCAGAAAATGGATTAACATTAAATCCTTTTCTCTCTTTCTCCGGCTCGGTTTCCCTCGCGGCCCTTTTCCCCTCCTGTTCCCGTTCGACCTGCTTCCCACTATACGTTTCTCTCTGGCTCTCCTTCGCCGTCGAGTACCTTTAACTGCACCGGCTCGAAAGTTTGTTCAATTAGCCTGGACTCTTCCACCGCAGAGTCAATACCCCGGGAAAATTACTCGACTGCGTTTTCATAACTGCTCGAAGCGTGCGGTTTAACCGGCGAAAGGGAACTCGAAGGCCCTCTCGGTCGAAGGTCGCCGGGGAAGACGTCTTGGGACGTCGAGACCCTCCTTCTCGAACAGGCAATTACGCTCGGCGATCCTGCTCGTTAATCGAACGAACGTGGCCCCGAATCTCCCTTCGACAATATTTAGATCGCATCCGCAGAACAAATAGAATTACTCGGACCAAAGAGATATCATGTTCACGGCATAAAATAGTCGACGACCCTCGACCATTGTCTTAAAGAGTAACCGAGCCTGGAACGGCGATAAAACCTTTGTTCCGCTAAAGTCGGTGCGAAACTTTTAATTTAAAAGTTAATAGAGTGAATCGAAGATTTTCTAGAACGTAATTACCGGTTTCGTTAAAAGTTGGCGGGGGTGGTTCGCGTCGTTATTGACGAGCCCCGGGAACTTGGAGGCTCCATGAATATTAGAAATCAATCGCGACACCCGGCCCGATCTCTTTTCCGTGTGCCTCGATACGGCGGAGTTACAAATTCCAACTTTCCGTCAGATTTTTATCGGTGTCGTTAAAATGCAGATTGGCAATACACGCCCGGGAAAAATAACTGGCCGGGGGACGGGCTGCTGTGGGGTACGTGCGAAATCGAAGAGAGACACCGCGGCAAGATAAAGGGCGACAGCGAGTAAAACAAGGGAAATGCCATTCGATTTTTACGATCACGGAATTTGTATCTCGCTCCGGTTCGCATCGCGGACTTATCGGGGGTGAGCCGCTGAATTATTTCCATTCTTCTCCAGGCTGTGCAACAATGCTTTTACGTGCCATAAAACTGGCCGAACGCGCACTCTGTCAATCCTCCGTTCCTGCACCCGACCCTCTCCATCCATTCTTATCATGCTACCTTCGCTTTTCCTTTTAACCTTTTCTTTTTCTTCATCCCTATAGTATATTTCCTCATCTTTTTCCCTGCACTTTTTATACCGTGTCCTTTAGCTCTCGGTCGTTACACCTCTTTTTTTTTTCGTCTCCCTTTGTCTCTTCCTGTCCCTTCTACTTGCTCTCTTTTCGCCTATCAGCCTATAGCCCGGTTCGTCTTGTTCCTTTTGTCGATACCCGCTCTCTATCTCTCTTTGTTATCCATTTTCCTCCGTCAACCCTTCCCCGGCATCCAACACTATCGAAGTGGCTCCTCGCGCCTGGATTTTACACCCCCGCGTCGGAAGTAGAACACGGTGGAGAGGGAAAGGGCCGCCGGAAAGGAGAGGGAAAAGAGGGCGAAAGGGTGAACTGGGCGAGAGAGATACTCGAACGATTCTGTTTCGCCATCGAATACCTACGTCGACGTTTTATCGGCTGTCGTTGTAGGAACGTCGAGGACTTTATGGGTCGGCGCTGGGCTGACTGCGAAATTTTCGGAGCTCGATCCCTGATCTCTTCCTTTTTTCTATTTCCTTCCTCGTCTCGATTTCATCGAATCGATAGCGAAGGTGTGAACAATTCGAATCGAAAAGGCCTTCGTTTAGAGAATCCATGAATATTGTCGCAATTCCTTAGATTTCGTTCCGGATCGAATGAAATTAAAGGAACGATGGTTGACTCGATTACCTTTCACGCACCACTGCGCTTTCGCAAATATTCCATCGACGGAAACGAACCGTTTAAAAACGAACAATCGAGAGTCTACGTTCTGAATAGGTTCTGAAATCGAAGCAGTCGACCATTCCATTTAATCATTTGAGTCGTTAGCGTATATATATTCTATAGACGAACGTGAATAATAAATTTCAGTCTCGCCACCTGGCCAGTGCCGATTCCCCAGCTGGTTGACAGGGCATTCCAGCGGAGGACTGACCTGGCACACCCTCGACCTGACCAGGTCCTACACGTTCCATCCACGCAACGCTTCCCTGCACGTAACCAGAACGAACGGGACTGCCTCGAGATTCGAAGGTAGTCCCCTCGATGGCCAATACGTACCTGGACAGGAAGATCAGGACGTGAAAATATTGTGCAACAGCATTAAACAGTCCAGCTCTGCCCAGGCAATAACCATGACTATGCTGGTCGCCCACTTCACTGTCGGATGGTCAGTATAAATTTCTTATCGTGTTTCAAGATGACGCATCATGTGTAAGACGTGCGTCAGCATCCAATAGAAAGATTTATCGAAATAACGAAAATTGTTTTCCTGATTTCAGTCGGAGCGGGTTCACGTGCATGAGTTTTTACCGGAGGGACGGCCACGTGATAGAGGTGCAAACCGGAAGCGCCGTTTCGAGACCGGAAGAAGCTTGCAGTTCGCCCCACTTCCAACAGCACAACATACCTTTCCTCACCTTAGTCAGTGAGTAAAATCTACATTCGATATTATAACTGTACGTTCGCATCGGAACCGGTCCGACGTTTCACTTCGCAACTAGTTCTTATACTTTGCATAGTTTTTTACATCTTTTTTATGATCGGGCAGCATTTTACTAGTTGAAAAAGATGTTATTCGACTTAGAAAAATAATCTTGGAGTATCGTCCCCTGAGATGGGCGATCGTTAAGAGATTTTGCTACCCCGAGGCAATATCGAGTTTCAGCGAGACGCGAGTGTTTGATCGGTCTTGAAACAGCGGGTTTGCCGGTTACGCTCGATTTGCGTGACCCTTGAATTTTATTAGGTCCGCGAAAAGAGGGAAGGAAAAAAAAAATATGGCTGCCGGAAACTGGCTCCGACGCCGATAAACCCTCGGAGAACTCGAACGAACGGTGGAAAAGTTTCCGGCGCTGTGTTGCACGGTTAGAGGATTTACTGCGGGCAACATCGTAGCCTCGGATGGAAAAAGGAGACCTCCTGTAATTTTCGATCGATTTCGACCGAGAAACGTTTCCCCGCTTTTATTGGCAGCGGCTCGTGTAGCGACGAAATTAACTTGCGGCCAACTTTCGGCTGACTCGAACCGTTCCGCTTGTTTGCCCCCGCGCGATTCTTAATACCGCGAAGAACTTTCTATTACCGACGCGAAATTATTAGATCGAAAAGTCTTTTCTCGTGAGACAACGCGGCGGCCCTCCAGTAATTTTATTTCCATGCAACTTGTCGATCAACTTCGCGTCGTTATATGTATGAATCATTGTATCAATGATCAAAGTCGATCTCACGGAAAAGGAGAGCTCCCGGTTTCTAAAAATTCCAGGACTGACTTGTTGACCGACTAGTTTTACTTTCTAGCGATACGTGCACGAACTCTCGTACAAATACAGGGCAGGATAATAAATGCGGGTGCGCGCGTGTCTGTGTTATGCAACTGGGATGGTAAACGAATCTTCCTGGAGAAATTGAATTTGTAGGGAACCGGTGGAGCGCGTCACGAAAATCGTTGAAACCGCACAAATATTTTGTTTCATCGTTTTCGACAATCCCGCGGTTTGGTTTCGTGGCTCTGTTTGTCGATCACCTCTTTCTTCGTTTGTTTTTTACTATCTGCGTTTGTTGCCATGTTCCAGAGGTGTATCGCGACCATTACCACCGCCACCATCGCGCCGCATCATCGGGGACTATTCTTTTTTAACCGAATTGTTGCGGTTTCGCCCCGTGATTCTCGTGTCAAAAGCACTTTATCGGTCGATCTTCTCGTTCCGCAAAAACTTGCCCGATCTGCCCGTATATTCCTATAAAAAACCTGCGACGCTTCAACTATTCAGTTGCAACATTTCAATTATATAGGAAAAAACGTTTCACCATTCAGAATTCATAAATAGACGGATATCACACTGGAGTATTCTTTTTTATCAAGCGATGAACGAGTTTGATTAGATACAAACTATTAGATAGGAGAAGGCGAAAGGTAAATTTTAACGTTTCAGCTATTCACATTCGCACGTGAAAACATTTCATTTCCTACGGATCTGCATCGTTCCACCTGGGGAATATCCTTTTGAGAATTTTTCAAGAAAATATCGTTCGGAATTTTCCCATTGTTTCTCCACAGTTCATTTTTGCTAGCTTCACCTGATACGAATGCGATATAGGTCGCAACGAAATATCCTCGTCCTGCGATCCGAACACCTTCTTCTTCTTCTTCTTCTTTTTCTTCTTCTTCTTCTTCTTCTTCTTCTTTTTCCTCTTTGTCGCAATTTCCACATCCTCGGTTCCCCGGGGGTCGGGGCTTGTAATCCCGCGGGAGTTATTGGATTCGGTTTGATCCAGTGTTCGTTCGCCCACCTTCTCGATTTCCTCGAGCAACCCGCCCAACCCTCGGAAGCGCGCCTTCCAATTTTTCCAAGAATTCGTGCTACCGGGGCTAATTAATCGCAAAGTCTACCGGTTGTCTGAACAACGTTTTATTTAACTCCTGCGGTCGAATCGCGTGCCAGTCGACTCTTTGTCAACCTGATACCAGGATCGAAGGCAATTTACCAAGCGCTAATTTAACAATTAGATACATCGATCTTCCTCCTTTAATTGATTTCATTTGTTCGTCGCATCATTTACGAAGTCCTCTGGTTAGAAATATATAAAATTGACAGATCAGCAATTACAAGTTTGAAAATACGATAAGAAAAATATCCTTGAACTTTAGAATTCCTCTAGTAATGTTTCCATTGCTCCACTCTACGAAACAGCATGATCACGTGCAGGTTTATTCGTAAAACAAGATTCGCGTTATAAATCATTTTTTATCTCGCCTTAATTAGGTATTTCTGTATCAACAATATTGATAGCCATTATCGATTGGAAAATATGTTTATGAAATATGCGATATGTAATTAAATATGCGATGAGATAATCGATCATCGGATTTAATCACGTTTTGTACATTTGATCCAAGCGCTCAGCGTTGTTTGCTAGTGTTGGCCAAAGGTATTACACAGCTCCTCTGAGGACCGCCGCGACAAAAGCTTAATTGCTCAGGGATTCGAGCTCGTTAGAAGCGTCCCAGTATTCTTCCGTGACGGTCATACTGCTTTCTTCTCTCCATTTATGTAATACAGGCGACGCTCGAAATAACCTGTCTCGTTTCCGCTCGTTACAATCCGCGATAAGAAATAAGATTTTCTAATGGGAATAGGAAGAAAATCATTGAGATTCGTATAACGAACTATGACGTAAGAGGTTCGTTTCTGATATAAACGACAGATAAAGAATGATTTACGGCGCCTAATTTATTTTCGATTAACGCTCGACTTTTGGGATTCAGATCTCGTGACAAATTGTTTCGCCTTATTCTTCGTTAGGCAGTGTTTTCTATGCCAGCCAAATGGATACTCGGAGAACATTACGCTTCCCTCCGGGGGTTTCACTCGCCGATCAATTCCAGACTTTGCTTCTTACCCCGCGTAACTTCGAATTGGCCGGCTGGTTATATAGCGACGTCGTGAGTGCACTTACACCGGCCGCTTACAATCGTTTCACTCATCCGGTTGATGATTTTGCTTCAACTCCGAGCTCTATCCCGCTGGGAACCACCTTTGCCACTTATTACGCTTAGTGAATCCCTGTCAATCTAACTTGAAAATGGAATTTCGTGATTGTTCGCTCGCGTTCGAATTAAGAATCGTTGGCCAAATAAAATCAAGCAAATTAGCCCGGCAGTTGCGACTTACGCAAGGAACCTGTTGTACGCGAACAAGAATAACTGGTTGCCCGGGGTAATTGGAAAGTTGGATAGGTAGGACGGATACAAGATGCGTGAATTTTCCACTCAATTATTTAATAAAACCCTGACACGAAACGTCCATTAACTATTTTGCTTCGCGTTTCAATTTTACGTATTACGAATTCAGAGCACTATGAATATATTCGTATGACAGTGATACATCTTAAAATACCATTCATGTCAATTATGAGTTTCTGTATAAAATCATATAAAACTTGTTCCTCTGAGACCGATGGCTTGATTTTATTCCGTCATGTCGTTGAATAGAGGAACCAGAGAGCTTTTCGGATGTATTCCATTCGTGTCAATTATGAGGTTCAATGTGAAATCGTACGAAACTTGTTTCGCTAAGGCTAATGACTTTTACTTCGTATATCGTTGAATACAGGTAGCAGAGACTTTGCAGCGTTCCATCAAAAACCGGATCAGCCAGTATTTTTCTTTCGTGCAGTTTCCCTCGTGGCGGCGAATTATTCGTCTCGGAAATCGTCGCGCCCCGTAATCCGGGCAGTTTCGTCTCGCGTAATTAACTCGACGAACAGGACGTAAAACAATAAGCCGACGGTATGGGTACGCGACAACAGGCGATCTGCAGAACGAAACGCGGGTGATCGAGTTAAACCGTCGGCCGCAAACGTTTATAGTCGCTGGCGACAAACGACAAATTCAGCTAATCTCGCCGATTTTCGGATACGACCCGTAGAAATTCCGGAAAAATTTTTCGTGCAATTTTTCACCGTCGCCGGAATACCAATGTCAGGACGCGCGTTTCTGCGCGATTGCTCATAAAAGTTTTGTACGAAGGAAAAAGCGGAGGAGGTGAGCCAAATGGCAGGCAAAGGAGGAACAAAGAGGTGGGCCACGGGAAAAGATGGATGGACGCTGGATGGTCCACTTTATTGCACCGCCCGGATATTGTATAGCTTATGGGGTAGGTACCAGAGCCTGCGGCTGGTACCAAGAAGAATTTTTCCCTGCGAGCCGAGTGATCTATCGCCCCGCGCACGATTACCGTGAATTTTCGACCGGTTACTGTCTCCGGCGGACAGAATCGATGCTCCCAAGTTATTCGGTTAAACTAAAACTTTCTCATCCCCCTCGGATTGATACCTAAACGAATCTCCTACAGCGAAATTACAAGTTCGCCTCGTCGAAACGAATTTATAAAAATGCACGAGGTATACTTGTACGGAAAAAGAATAAAATAAAATATTAATTCGTGAGTTCGTGTTTCTGGAAATATCTGCACTAAAAACGAAGGGAGGAACAGCGGGGCCGCGAATCGAATTCACTCCAGGTGGTTCGACCGTAGTCGCAGCTGAATTTGTCACTCGCAGGCCCCGCGGTTTTTTGTTTAATTGATTTATGGCACCGCACACCGATGTAAAAAATCGACGCGACGCGCGTAGCTACGCGGGCCATTATAAATCGCTTGCATCGACGCGACGTCATTAAACGAAAGGTGTTCCAAATTTCAATTCACATTCGCATCCTCTGATCGGGTTCCCATCAACGCGATTCTGGATGATCCAACAAATATCGGTGGCGGTTTAGGAATCGGATGAAGCGAAATTGTTTCAGTGATATTATACAGAATTCCGATATGTAGGTCGTGATAATATTCCAGTTTGCGTCCGAATTATGATTGTATGAGCTGAATTAGGTTAAATTAACGAAGCAGGTATACCGTGTTATGTCGT